CCACATGAGTACCAGGCTGGGCGAAGCAGAGGGTTAGAGACCCCCAACCCTGTCGGCTTCATTCAAAGCTGCAAAGATCACAGCCGCCCTGTGACAAAGGGAGTTTCTGTCCCCTCCGTGTGTTTCGGCTCTTGCGTGTGGCCTTCGCAGGGCCGGGGCTGCGTGTTCCCGCGCGCCGTCCTGCCCGCGCTGCCCTGGGGCCTTGTTTTGCTCCGTGCTCTTCCGCTGCTGTCACAGGGCCCAGGGGAGCCCAGACAATTCAGGCCACACAAACTCTTTTAGGAAGCCCAGAAATCTTCCTGTTAACCCCTGAGAGCCTCTTCTGGGAGGCTGGAGCGGAGAGGATGCAGGGGGCAGGAGGAGGAGGAGGAAGGTGAAGGCAGCAGCTCTTCAATTACACGAAATGGAGCAGCAGCCATGAATATGCATCACCCGCAGATGTTGACAAGGAGCTGTTGCCGGCCAACTGCAGAGCCGGCCACTTAATCCAGTTCCTGCCTAATCTGATCCTGCGCTTAATTTGATCAAAACTGCTGGCCCCGATGATTTGTGCATCAGGAGGGGAAAGCGCTCACCTCACGCCGCGCGACGAGCAGCGCTGAGCCTCTCTTAGCAAGATAATTTGATTAGAGGCTTGGAAAGTTTCCCTGTAGTCGAGTGCCCGGAGCGGCGGCCGCGCTGGGAAGACTCTCTTGGCTTTGGTGCTTGGTGTCCGCAGGCTGCCGGGGCCGCGGGCGCGTGGGTTGAGTTCTGCTCCGTGCCTCGGTTTCCCCTGTGTAAAAGGGGGCAATAACCCGGCCCTGGGTGAGCAGGGTCCCTTTGTGTCCCCCGCGCAGCTGCCACGGCAAGGCGGAGGAGTGCATCGGGCTGTGCCGTGCCCTCATGAGTGCCCTCAACTGGCTGCTGCGCTGCGCCGCCTTCTACGCCGACAAGGGGAAGGAGACGCTGGAGCCGGCGGCAGCCGAGGGCCAGCTCAAGATGTGCCTGGAGCGGCTGGGGAAGAAGGTGGGGAGGC